CTCCGCGCCACCTTCTTCCTCTCGCGAGGACACACCTCGCCGGAAGTTTCCGCCTCGCGCGGCTGGCTGAGGCACCCGGACGGGGGGGAAAGCGGCAGGACTTCTGTCCTCTGTCCTCTCGCCAGCGTCGCTTCGTCCGTGCTCTTCACGAGCGCCCGGTGGCCGGGGTCTCACGGGGTGGATCGTCGCAGCGGGGCGCCCCCATGTTGCGTTTTCCGACCTGTTTCCCGTCCTTCCGGGTGGTGGGAGAGAAGCAGCTGCCACAGGAGGTCATTTTCCTGGTCTGGTCGCCCAAGCGGGATCTCATTGCTTTGGCCAACACCGCGGGCGAGGTAAGTGAGTGGCGTGAGCGCAGGCCGCCGGATCCTGCCTCAGTTTCCCTTCCGCAGGCGTGGTGGACCCCGCTCAGCGCGTCCCTTGCTTCCCAGGTCGGCTGCAGACTTGAAGGGAAAGTGTAAGGGACTGTATCTGCCAAAGATGATTTCTACACCTATTCCTGGTATTTTATAGCTAAAAATAATAGTTTTCACACAGCTTGACGCAATCACACAGTCCTGCACCTATAAGTCACTTTCATTCATTGATTTGAACCTTAAAACCTTATAACTGTCGCTGCGCCTGAGCGGGACAAAGTAGTAGATCCACGAATCATACCCAAGTCTGTTTCGGTTTAGTGGTAGCAGAACAAAGATGAACGACTGTCAAGTCTTTCTGCAAGTGTACATGCATGAAGTTGGCAGAGAGGAGGTTTGAGTTGAGGTCTTGTTGTCCAAGTTTTAATACCTGGGTCTGATAACCACTTTCCATTAAAAGAACTTTAAACATTGCAGCTCACATTGAATTATGCTTCATCAAGCGTCACCTGATTGTACCCAACTTTCTGCTGCCAGCTCTGATTCAGCGATATTGGAAGGAAACGTTCACCTGTGCCTCTTTTCGCCAGGTGAAAGTTGTGTTGTGTGCAGCCAGGTTTGCCTTGGCCAGGGCAGTGGGTAGGAAGATAGGCGAGAGGGCCATAGGCACAGATAGGGAGGTGTGACAGCAGTGCCGTCGCTTCCACTTTCTCTCAGCAGCAGCAAGGGCAAGTCCACAGGGGACGTGGAGAAGAGAAAGGAGAGGTGTCAAAGCTGACAGGCCCCTGGTGGACCAGGGAAGCCTAAGAGGGTTGCCTGTCAGTGTTAAGAGGCCCCTGAGGTTAGTGGTCTAGTGGTTGAAACTTTGCTTCCTTGTTTTCCATGGTTGTGTAGAAGCCAAAGTAAGGGCCGTCTTAGTTTCAGTGCACAAGGATCCCTGAGGCATCCTCTTGACCTTCTAAGGTGACATTTACTGGTGTGGAAATGGAAATCTAGAATGGACTGTGACTTGTCAAGATCCAGGGCTAGAAAGGAACACAGCTGATACTAGGTGCCAAGTTATCAGATCCCGTATTTCATCATTTGCCTATGTCACAGCTACCTTTTTAGTGATATTTGTGTTATTTTTTATCGTCTATTTCTAGGAAGCTTTCATATTCCTTTCTGAAAGGTAAGTCTCCTATTGACGTTAAAGACGGGAAAATGTATAGGGTGCAAGATTAAAGGGAATCTTCTGATTTTACTCTTTTAAAGTACTTCATGTATATTCAGACACTTGAATTCCTGTCTCAGAGCTATTTTGCTTAAGAGAGGAATATAGTTTTATTTTATTTTTGGAAACGAATTTAAAATTTTCTGCCACTGTGTTTATTTTAGGTTTTATTACATCGACTTGCAAGTTTTCACCGAGTTTGGAGTTTTCCACCAAATGAAAATACAGGAAAGGAAGTGACCTGTCTGGCTTGGAGACCAGATGGCAAACGTAATGATAATATAAAAATTTATTTTTTATTTTCATAAAGAATATTCCAGCCAGGCATGTTGGCGCACACCTGTAATCCCAGCACTGAGGATGCTGAGGCAGGAGGATCGCTATGAGTTTGAGACCAGCCTGGGCTACATAGTTCCAGGGCAGTCTCAACTACATAGTGAGATCCTGCATCAATCCCCCACCAAAAAAAAAAGAATATTCCAGCCCCACCCGCCCGCAGGCCCCTTGGTTCTGCTGCACATCCCCCGCACTGCGTGTTCCAGGCTGATGCTTGCGTAGAGAACTCCCCACAGAGGTGGCCGAGGGGTCCCTTGTTGACCTATGCAGAACTCATGGTCAAGGACCCCCTGCGCCCACCACAGACTGTCCAAAGTCACGGGGAACATGGTGGAAAACACCATCACCCTTGATGGAAAGAAAGAGCGATTTAGGGCTTTGTACTTTTCTTAAACTCTCAGTTTGGCTTCATACTTTATCTTGTGTGGGCTTTCATTCCTGAATCATGGCTACACTCCTTTGGCTTAATCTGTTGGCCTTAAAAATACTGGGAATTGCATTGCCTGTCTTACAGACTCATGACTAAAGTAACCGGCTGTATACTCTTATTTGGAATTAACATGATGAGCACCTCTCCACTCAACTCCATTCACACAATCACAGATAACTATGCTAAAAAATCAACAGCAGAATAAATACCAAGAAGATTCCATCCCAGCATTAAGGGATATTCCTATTACTGAAGTAAACCAAATGTTTTTTCTTGCAAACAACTTTATACCAAAAATCGAGTTGTGTGTAAACATACCAATACCAAGCATTTATTTCTAAGTTTTTGACAAAATAACAATTTTAACCATAATTATATTGACTATTGCACTTATTAATACCCAGTATTAAGATGTAAAAATAAAGGAAAGTTGATCTTAAAGTTTAATTAAATATTGGAAATGTTTTCAAATGTGAGTTGATGGACAGGATAAATAAGATACTGCATTAACCTAAAAAGAAAAAAAAAGAATATTCTAGAAAGTTGGGTGTGGTGGTGCACACTGGTAATCCTAGCACTCTGGGAGGCTGAGGCAGGAGGATGGCAAGTTAAAACCCAGCTTGGGTAACTTAGCAACTTCTTGAGTCACCCTGTCTTAAAATCAGAAATTTTTTTTTTAGTACGGGGGATCGAACTCGGGTCCTTGTGCTTGCGAGGCAGGCAGCGGAACCACTGAGCTAAATCCCCTAAAATCAAAAATTTTTGAAAAGGGTTGGGAATACAGCTCAGTGGGAAAGCACAGAGTTCAGTTCCTAGTGCCAAAGAAATGGGTGGGTGGGTAAATAGGTAGATTCCCAGTACTGCCAATTAGGTAGATACAGAGATAGATAGATGACATACAATCAAACAGTATTCTGTAAAGAAAGCCTGTTTACGTAAAGAATTAATTGTTCTTAGTCTACGTTAGAATTATGAATGCCAGCCAGGTGTGGTGGCTCATGCCTGTAATCCCAGCTCTCTGGAGGCTGAGGCAGGAGGATCACTGTGAGTTTGAGACCAGCCTGGACTACATAGTGAATTCCAGGTCAGTCTCAACTACATAGTGAGACCCTGTCTCAAAA